AATACTGTCAACTAATTAGGCATTCATCAGTCTGTGTGATGTGCGCAGCCTGTTCGCTCTTTATTACTTACAACTGAAATTATTACAAATAATTCTGGGTTTTACAACTATAGAATAAAATTTATTTTAAATGAGTTTTGTTGTTATTTCTGCATTAACATTGTTAGTAACTGATTGTATTTTATTTACCGAAAGTCATTTTAATACAGCATCCTGTATTAAAGGCCATTTTCGTAATATGATTTATGTTTTTTGTTCACTTGTACTGAATGGTGTTCACCTGCCCGCTAGTTTCACATGTCTGAGCAAAGTGTAGACACTGATTTACAATTTGCCATCGACAGACTGCATGCAGTAAATTATTTGGTCTCATTGACTGTTGAAACCATTTTATAAGAGGATGTTTCTGGCTCCTAACAAATGGGATAAAGGACTTTATATAAACCACTCGCGTACAACCTCTTGGATCTGATAGGAGAGGAGAGCTACGTGGGTGAAGGAGCCTTTGACATGTGTGATCAAGAGACAACAGCAGCTCTATGCAAATCAAGCTGCTGAAAATGGATGCAAGGGGAGAGAAACAGCAGTTTGAATACAGTGATCGGCTGCGTTTGGTCTCTAGGGATCTGCTGTTTGCTTGTTTTATTACTTCGATGAATACAAAACCCCTTGTTTGAATTACATTATAGTGGAAGCTGTGAAAATGCACATTGCCCTAAACTGTGCTTCTTTCTTACTCTGTCAGGCATATGCATTTTACACTGATGGTGATTGATGGTAAATGCATAGTTACGCATGTTATACATGTTTGTTGACAGACAGACAAACATGTAGCGATACAGAGCCCCGTCTAGTGATTCCAAAGACTTTTTCCAATATATTCTCATGTTACATGGTTTATTTTTTTTTTTTAAACTATGAATATATTTCCCAGTCCAACCCAAAATAGAATCAATGAGGCATGTGTGGGTATTGCTGGAAAAGAAATGAAAAATAAATGAGTAATAATCCCCCCAGTTAAAAGGTTACTCAATGTGATAAAGGCTACTTTGGTAATTTGTTTACTCTCTACAACAGAAAGATAAAACGGGAACAATTAAAAATTCTATGTGGGAGATTTTAAAAGGTCAGTGACATTGGGTTAATATTTAATAGGGCCAGACTGACTCTGTGCGGGGAAGTTATTTAGTGGGGCAAAGACATACTGATCAGGTGTTCTTCGATGGGAATGCAACTCGAAAATGCAAGAAAAATATAGACATCATTTTCAAATAAAAGCTAAAACACAGCCTTTTATTCTAATTATCCATGCATAATTAATATTATAGAAACTTATAAATTGATACCATTAAGGAGAGGTGGAAAGTACAAATCCAGACCAAGGTTTCCTTTCAGCCAACCAGTTGGGCATAAAGTCTTACGGTCACAGAGTACTCAACTGGGTGGTTGCAACAAAATCTTGGTCTGGATTTTTATTTTCTGGACTTGAACTGTCTGCCTTTGCCTTTAAGATTGTCCATTCTTTGCCACAGTAAAAGTCCGGTGCTATCTTTTTGCACATGTAATTGCACAGGTACCTTTAATTAGTTTATTTTTATTTACATTTACTTTCTTAATGTTCCTTTTTAAAATGCTGTTTAAGTATTGTGTACGTTTTAAATGTGTGTGTCCTGCACTTACTTGTTTGCGCCTTGTGTACTGTACTGTCTTTGCACTTTGTCTTTGTTTCTCCTGCCAGGAGCTGGGAGGGAGCAAAAATGTGGACTGGCCTGGGGGTCCCCTAGGACCGGATTGATAAGCATTGCCCTATACTGTTATGCATATTCAGTTATGATGAAGCTCTTTGTTGATTGACAGTGGTGGCTATAGTGACTCACCACATTCATGGTTTTTAAAGTGTTTTGGTTTTTTTGTAGAATATGAGGAAGAAGTTAAGAAAGTGTTTGTGCCTTCCAGATGCTGTATTGAATCAGGCTTTGTGTGTGTGTGTGTGGGGGGGGGCGGTGGGGTGTATGTGATTGGCTGTAGCAGCAGTGATGTGTATTACACTATCAGGTTCCAGCTTTTCCTTTTGCTAACAAGGTTTGTAAACAGAAGATAACGTGTGATTAGTGTGAAAAAAAACAAAAAAAGCTATACTTAAGTGCTTAGCCAAATACTCATATTGTTCAGCATAAACCCTTGCTGTATATTGGTATATAATACATATATTTGTTATCTTAGTATATTAAATGTGTCTGGAGGTTGAAACCTCTAAAGAAAAGTGACTTTTAGACGACTTTAGTTTTGTTTTGGGGTTTTTCTAAAACCTCGTAACAATCAATTATAACAGCACAAGATACTTGAACCGTGGGGAAACCTGTAAAGAGACAGATTTTAATTGTGATAAGCTTGTAATATTGTATGTTTATTAGCTAGCAGCATGAAGCGTCTTCAATGTAAATAATGAGCTTTCTGCCCTGTTTGATGCGTTAGTGTCCCATAGTCCGGCTCCCCGGCCATATGTCTGAAAATCCTCCAGAAGGGATTGTTGTTCCGTGCCCTTCAGAGGCGCTGAATCTGCTTTATTACAAATAACTCGATGAGCCCTCACTGTCCCGGGACCCTTTGCCCCAGAGAACCTTGGCCTTGTCACCAATTTAGGGATGGCCTTCCAGGAACTCTCTGGAAAACCCATTGATTAGCTTCATGGAGTAAAAAGCCCATTAGGAAAGCAATATTTATCTATTCTTTGAAACGAAATTGCTTCAGCAAGAATAACAGGAAGTGTGAGCGCATTTGGTAGCTTTGCTCGTTAGGGGGCAGCGTTATGATCTTAGCAGCCTTGCTAAGAGGCCTTGCTCTGTTGGCGATGTGGTTAAGTTTCAGCTTTCCCTCAGCGACGTTGTTCTTTTCAAAATGGGACAGATGTGAGAGATATCCATCGGAATGGACATTCTGTATTTTTGCCTTTTGGGTAGATTACTGTGTCATTGTGAGGGGAAAATGGCTTGTGTTGAAAAAGTTGTTTTTGAGCTTTATCTCCTATAAATTACTTTGGCTTGTTCCCTGACAGACTTTAAACACTGAAACTGATTTTAAGGTACGCAAGAGTTCTACGTAACCTTCCAGTTAAAAGTGACTGTTAATTAACCATTCTAAACATTCCTGAGGATTGATCACCCATGGAGTTACACCAGTGGGGACAATACAATATGACATCAAAGCACAGAAAACAATGTATGTACTCATGTACATCAACTGTTGAGGATATGTCACTGTGGGCAGGAATCCGCTGACAAGTTAAGCAACACAAGTGCCGCTGAAATACAATACTTGCAGAAGCTTAGTTAGATCTGTATTATTCGTGTTGTATTTATGCATTTCATGGGACTTGCTGATGGCAGCCAAGCTTTCAAAACACCTTGGATAAATGCCCTGCAAATTGAATACAGTGGCTGATACAACATCATGGATCGGGCATTTTTCCCCCCTTCATCATTGGTACTTGTAATGTTGTTGAGTGAGCATTGTTTTGTTATAGCCATTCATAAATAATTCATCTGGGTGCTTTGAGAAGGGGAGAGAGGGAGACCGTGTGTCAGTCCAGTTCCTTATGAGATCAAAGAGAGAGATCTATAGGAGCATGACTATGGCAACAGCTTTGTTGAGCTTATGCCGATTTGTTCCCTGCCTTTTTAGCTGTGAGTTGCACATTTTTTTCCTACAAAATAGAAGCCAGAGAAGCCTAGGAGATAAACATAAAACATTCATAATTAGTGTGGGCTTGCTTAGTTAAAACAAGCGTGTTTTTCATTTAATGTTGTGGGTTTTACTGCATTTAATTCTGTTATTTTGCCCCTTAATGAGTCTATGAGTGATACAGCCTATGAGTGATATTTAATTAAGTTGTTACAATGATGCATTCTTGGATGTTAAACATATTTAAGCACATCCAATGCATTGTATGCAAAATTATTTTTAAGATGGTGCGAAGTACACAATAGATAAATATTCCATCGAAACAGATAACATGGGAAGTCATTTTGCAAAAGAATACTATGAATCCTATTCTATGTGTGTGAACGTGGCGTAAGTATAAAATGTATGATTTACTGAATTGGGTCTCAAAGCAGCAAATTACATTCCGGCACTAATAACATTTCTTGCAAGAACTTCCTGCACTGAATACTGTGCATACTTGTGATTTTTTTTATTATTATTGATGGAATTTGCCTTCTGCAAATCGATTAATCCAGTAATCTTGAAATCAAGAATGTAGCCAGCTGACTTGTTAAAAGATGTGTTTATAGGACATTTGGAAACGGGTAAAGTGTCAACATGCTGCATTACTCCGTAAGGTGTTAAAGCATTTTCATTACGCAAGTTTGAAACACTCCTTTGCACCAACTGACAATGACCTGAAGTATTAAATCAAACATAATTCTTTAGGCAGCCAACATCTTTCAGATACCTAAAAAACCTATTCATACCTAAAAAGCCATAAAACACAATTCATTAAAAAATATTAGCAACAAAACCAGCATTTATTTGAGTTTTAGAAGGCCCATAAATCAATAGTGACCCAAATGCAATAATTAGAACCAGTTAAGGTGTAATTCTGAAGCTGAATACCATATGCTCGATTTTAGCATACACCAACAGGGCAATTCAAATTGTGACATGATATTAATATGGAGAATAAGGTAACGAGGTATGGCTTATGAATTATGCATCAAAAAGAAGCTGATCTTCAATAAAGCGAATGAATTCAGCATATAATCTAATTACTAATGGTCTGTTATGGTGAGTTACAGAAAGCGACCCTTCGTAAAAGGAATTTATTTACAGTATATGTTCAGTGGTCGGAGCAAAATTGCATTTTAATGTCTCCCGAAAGTTAATTCTCTCTCTCTCTCTCTCTCTCTCTCTCTCTCTCTCTCTCTCTCTCTCCCCCCCCTCCTTCTTCTGCTGCTTACTCTTTTTACCTTTTCCCGTCTCTCCTTGCATTTCCGTTTCAGTTCCAGGCCAGGAAGGCCCCCAAAAAGGTCACAGAGTGTCTCATCGCAAGAGAGTCCGCATATCATGCTGAACTCGGTACCCAGTCTTATGTCATCAGCTGTCATTCCACCAGCAGGTAAATTCTGGGCCTTTTCTCCAGTGACGTCTCCTCGGCCTCCATTAACCAGTCTGAACTGGTGTTTAAGCTAGAAGTCTATCAGATTCTTCAGTGTGTTTAATTTTTTTTTAAATTTAATAATAATATATAAATGCTTGAATTAATAAAAATGAATTCTCCTTTCCTTTGAAAAAGCAATACCTATTATAGCCATTGTATTTTATAAGAATTTATCTTAATGTAGTAATATCCTTTCATGTAGATTTTAGTCATTCAGCCAGAATGAGGAAACATGTCCATCAGCACACAGATCAACACGATGATTTGCTCCTCTATTGCTGCATCAAGCTGCTACTTTATTTAATCAAGCTTCAATATAGAAAAATTCAGTCACTTTCTGGAAGCTCATTCTCACATTTCATTTGTATCGTCTTTTGTCTCTGTGGCCGTTTTTGGAATGTTGTTCTACTGATTAAAAACAGACGTTTGCTAACACCCAACCAAATATCACCTATGTTGTTAAATATTTATGCTGTTTTTCATTCTTCATTCACAATAGTAGCCATTGTTTCTTTGAATTTTCACCCTAGATTAAATCCAAGCTGATTATGTGTATGTTTTAGATGGCATAAAAACACGTTACCTTTACACGGGAGCTGTAATCAGGTGTTTCATGCCTGCACTGGGACCAAATGGTTTTCAAAATTCAAAAGCACACGGAAGGATCTAGGGCTGTACAATATGATGATATATATTGGATGGCGAAATAAAAATGTCTATTGTTTCATATTATGCTTTTATTTCGCGGTGTCTCAAAATACACTGTTTCCGGCAACATTTTTTCATCATTTGGGCGACAATTTGTTGCACCACATGGGATGTGACACTTCTATGGAAGTTTGTACTGGACTTTAGTATTTGTAACGCACAGAAGACAATCCACAAATATGTACCATAATCCAAAAATATCCACAAATATGTTTTTTTTTTTTAAACTTATATTGTGTAAAATCATATCCATAAAAATATGGAGTGATGTGTTTTGCACATTTGTGGATCACATCCCGCCTATTTGTTAATCGTTACATTTGTGACTTCCCCCTATTTATTTGCAGATTTTTGTCCAGTTCCTACTGCTACATAGCCCCTAAGAGGTCAGGGTGGAAATATATATATATTTTTTATAATCTTGCATTCCCTTGCAATCCTTTTGTGTTCCCTCGTGATACTTTTGTGGTCCCACTACACTTGCCCACTTGCTATTTGCTGCAGCACGACAGCATGGATAAACCTGAATAATACAGACATGTCCTGTAAAGTGTGCTTTAAGCATTAAATTATAGAGGACAATGTACACAATGTAACTTTAATATTATGTGTTTTATACGTACTTATTAATAATTGCACTGTGTCCATTCACTGCCAGTGACTTTAAGCAAGACAGCTGGGCTACTGAGCATGAAGTGCAATGCTGAAATGATCGTGTTGACTTGAGTGAGTCATAGATTAGGTTGATTTTGTGTATGTTATCTGCACCAGCATGTCCTGGGTTTTCAGCTGTGATTTGTTTAAAGGTGTGTTTAGTTGGGTCTCTTCTGTTTGCCTGTAACTTAATTATCTATGAGCTGTACGTGACAACATGTACTAAATCTAGCTAATTATCCAGCCAAAAAACGTTAAGCTTGTCCTCAGCTAATGCAAGGATGAGTTGTGCTAAAAAAACTTGACCGTAAGGTTGAGTTTATTTCCAGTAGATGCGTTTTCACATATTAATACTCTTGTATGTTTACATTTAGTTTGCCCATTCGCAATTACTTTAAATTCAATCAAGGTATGCTAACATGCAGCATGTAACGCATTTAAAAATGCTTTTGGGGGGAGGGGGGTTAGAGGTGGAATATGAGTGAAATGTTTTATGTTAATTTTAGCCAAATAAACAGAAAATGAATGGACTGGAATGGACCTTTAGCTAAGTATAAGGTCTTCTCCACAATGATACAGTTTTTGAGTTTCCACATCCATAGCAGAACCTGTGGCTCTCATAATCCATCTATTTGCCCTTGGTTGACACACCAACAGGTGACATCTTCTTTAAACCAAGGTGGAATACCCATACCTTCTATTATTTAATTTTAGAAACTATCTCTCCTCTTTCCCATGTTTAGCAGTCAGGTATTCTGCATGGGTGATGCATGTGATGAAGTGTAAATACATGATCTGGAGAGCAGGTTGCAGGTTCTGGAGGAGAGGAAGTTTAGAGTGAGGGATTATAACATGGATTCTAGATCCAGGTTCAAACATTAGCTCAGATTTTATCCTGGATAAAAAACAAATTTATATGATGTCGGATCAGAACCAATTCTACACCCTTTTTTGCCTGGATTTAGTCCAGCTGTTTGTTTTGAGGTCTCAGATATATAGAGGAATACTAAGCAAAAGGCGTACTTCATAAAAGTCAGCATAATGGAATGTTAGAATGAAACCTGGCTCAGATGATTTTGCTCATAAATTGGGTCTCTTTTGCAAGCCCATGCTGAAATTGGAGCAATGGTCCGTTCCTTTTCTAACTACAGTTGCAGTATTGTATGTTTGTTTAGAATAAAATAACCTTATAATGTATTGAGCAGAGTTTACAGCAAGCATGGATACCAAACCACAGTCTATGGCATGGTACACCCTGACACATTAAGGGAAATTTAGAGTCACTAATCCACTCAGACCGTATGTCTTTGGGATAGGAGTGGAAATCCACACAAGCAGAAGACTCAAATTTCGCACACACACTCAGACACACAGCTAAACTTGTCATGGAACCCACTATGCTATATTTTTGAGACCAGAGGGCTACCAACACAATTCTACTCTCATGTAGACTAACTAAATAAAATGAAGGAAACGGTTTAATTTACTTTGCTAGCACATTATAAAAGGTTCAGCGCTACACATTTTGTCTGTAATCTTAGGGCTGACACAGACTTACTCGCCGTAGACTGTTGCTTTAGTAATATAGGAGAAATGTAATTTTGCAGAAAGACCTTTATTTGGAATGTGGAATTTCAAGCAATGAAAACCATATTTGGACTTGCCGTTGGGTAAATTAATCAGTTTGATGAATCAGGAATGTGATGCTTAGTAGTTACTGTTATTGTTCAGTTGCCTGTTTTTTCAACATCTCTGACGAAATGGAAACAAAAACACTCTGAATGCAGGTTTTTTTCCCCCTGCTGATCCTGATCTGGGTACATATACTTGAATTTGTTTTCTTGTTAATATTTGATTGTGTTAGGGTAGGTTCTGACATGATTTAACTGAAGAACAGTAAATATTTTTCCTGTATCTATCTGTGTTTTTCCTTTGAGTTCCTGTTTCAGGCAGATCAGAGACTGCCGTTGTTTGCCCTTGTAGGAGGGTAAATCTGTTTTTCTTCAGTACATGTTTCAGACATGTACTGAGCTTCACCACAAAATACTGTGTAACAATATAACAGAGCAGACATGCCTGGCCACTGCTGGCCACTAGGAGGCGATAGTAAAGTCACGGCTTTACGTTTAAAAAAAAAAAAAAACATCAACTTGTAACAACCTGTGATACTCACACGTCTTGTTTTCAGATAAACACTGTGTATTTTTTTCCTAGACATGCTGAACTGATTGTACGGTACTGATAACTTTTAGTCAATGAATTAGTTATATGTAGACAATTTATTTCAAAGTGATTATGAGAGTAAGGATTTTATATAGAAAAAGTACAGAAATTACGGTACTTATTAAGCAGCTCAAAACCAACTGACATTTGATTACAGTGGATTCAGAAAGTATTCATACCCTTCATCTTGTTTTCACATTTTATGCTGCAGCCTCATGCTAAAATCGTTTTATTTCATTTTTTCCCCTGATCAGTCTAAATTCAATACCACATAATGGCAAGTCAAAAACAGAATTTTAGAAATGTTTGCAAATGTATTAAAAATAACTGAAAGATCACATTGAAATAAGTATCCAGACCCTTTTCTATGATGCATCCCATTTCTATTAATCATTTCTGAAATGTTTCAAAACTTTTTTTTTTTTTTTGGATTCCACCTATGATTAACTCAGTTGTGGGCAGTGGTGGCTTAATGGTTAGGGAACACACTTGGAATTGAAAGATTGCTGGTTCGAATCCCCGACCAGCAAGGCACCACTGAGGTACCCTGAGCAAGGTACCGCCCCCAAGCACTGCTCCCCGGGCGCTGAATTAGCTGCCCCCTGCTATGTCACATATGGGACACATTTGGTTGTTGTGCACTGTGTGCTGTGGTGTGTCACAACTGATCCCTTAATTCTGAATGGACATGAATGAATAAATGTTTTTTTTTTGGTCATACACATGCATACATACATACATACACACATAACATTCATACAAATTGACCAAAAAGGTGCTGGTTGAAGGTGTAGAATGTTCTAGTGTAGCTCAGCCAAAGCCTGGAGCTGAACTTAATTAACCAAACATTTACAAAGAGACATGAAACAGCTGTCCACTGACAGTCCCCATCCCGGATGACAGAGCTGGAAAAGATCTGCAGAGAAAATCTCCAAATCTGTGCAAAGCTTCTCACATCATACCCAAGACGACTCAAGGCTGCAATAACTGCTGAAGACGCTTCAAATAAGTACTGAGTCACAGACCTGAAAACCTAATTCGTTGTCATGTTTCAGTTTTTTATTTTTAATAAATTTGCAAAAACATCGAAAATGCTGTTTTTGCTTTGTCATTATGGAGTATTGAGTGTAGATTTATTACATAAAAAATTTTTAACAATTTTTGCATAAGGCTTCAACATCACAAAATTTGAAAAACGTGAAAAGGTTATGAAAAGTAATTTCTGTATTGAGGGATTTCCGTAGTTTATTTGTAGCTATTTAATTATCTATCAGTACCCACAGTATATTGGGTTTAAATATTAAAATGTACTTAACAAATTCTGGGCCTTCATTCTTGATCTAACATGGACTAGATAACTTAGGTGTTAGATCATTTGTTTAATGGTACATTACTTTTCTTACAATTAAAATAATCACCACTCTGCCTGAAAGAGTAATTTAATATATAGGTATATGTGTATATTAACTGTGGTATCTGTCTGGAGAATTCAGTCGCAGTACGTAATCTCGCTCGACGCTGTGTCCTGCCAGGTTTCTCCTCTCACTGGGATGTGGTTTCTTTCCTTTCCTTCTCGTTTGGTAAATGAAGGTTCCACTGCCGCCATACAGGATGTACTGTAAAACATTCATCACAGCCATCGGGTTTGGCTTTATTTACTAAGGTGTAGGTAACCAGAATGAAGTTTTATCCACACTGACTACGGAAGAGCTCACATGTGTTCTGGATTTGTTAAAAGGGTGTTGACACCATGTACATCTGGGGCAGCATGCATGATAATTAATACAGAACAATGTACAGTAACAGCACAGAAAGGCATAGCAAAGACAAGTCATTCCCACACAACTTCCTGCATAATAATAGATCTCTCATATTTATTTAATATGACATCTGCTCCGAGGGTTTTCAGGCAGTAATTTTTGCCACATTCTCCTGAAAAGAACAAGTAGATTAATAAATCAGGCTGCTCAAGCAAGGCTGAACTTGCGGTTTCTTACTGAACCCGTCAGACGAAAATTAAGGAAATTTGAAGGGAATAAAGTACATCTATTCAATCTTTTTTAAATATTTATGAAGTGCTAAAAAAAGAATGGAAAATGTGGGCAATCGTAATGGCAAGGGTGTAAAGGTGCAGAGTGCTTATAAGACCTGTGTAAAATCTATGACTGAAAATCGTTGGAATGATTCTTAGAATGATGAATTACTGAGCAACCCAATAAAAAATGACCTTCACATCAGAAACATACGTCACAATAATGTTTCCTAGGTATGTTGACAGGAACAGTACCCATGCTATATTAGGAATCTCAAATTAGATGTTGGATTACCCTTATAAAATGACCACAGTAATGAAAGTATCTCCATTTATGTGTCATTTCCCTCACATCACAACTGAATATAAAGCCGTTTCTCAGTTTCAGTTGTGACATTACACCAGCAGTTCCAGCTTGCACACCCCCCCCCCCAGTATTTAATGTTTAATTTTATCTTTTGCTATATCATTGATTTATGCTGCTGTAAGTCGACTGTCATACCTCTCAGGAGGATGAGAAGGTGGCTTCACACTTCTACGGTTGGGAATTTGAATCCCAAATCCAGTGGTGGGCAGGGTTCCGCTAACCCACCAACTGCTAAATTCCCAAGCTAACATTTTTCGTTAGCGGATTAACGTTTCCACTGACTTTGAAAACTGTTAGTGGACCAATTAGCTTCCGCTAAATTTTTCACAGGTAAAGTGAGTAAACTTTAACAGTCAAAAACATTTGCGAACCCTGACATCATACATATTTGTTCCTGTCTGTTGTGAGCGTGTCTGCAACAGTCTACCTGGTAATGCTGTTGGCTGACTACATATGAACATAAGATATGATTGATCGATAACTTCAGAGTTAAGGTAGTCTGGACTAAATGTAAGTGATTTATGATAAAGTCCATTTAAACTGGGGCACCCTGAACTGATTTCTTGCTTGGCCAGATAGTTTGTTGGATTCAAGGTACCGTAGTTTAAATGGACTTTATCATCATTCACTTACTGTACATTTATCCCAAACTACCTTAACTCCGACAAACTATCCGGCTAAGCATGACATCCTGCTTTGTGATACGGCCCCCTGGCTGTATTTTCTGGGTTTTGATTGACTGAGCTGTAGAGCAATACAGTGATAGTTCTGGATAAATGGCGCCATCTTTGTTGTCCCCAAGCGGCTTCACTGAGGGCAGAATGTCAGCATTGGCCACTTGTGAAGTAGGGCTTTTCAGGTGAAAAGGCTTGTATCTTGCGAGGTTAGCGGTTAGCGTTTATTGTTAGCTTCCGCTACATTTTTTATTGGTGTATCAGTTTAGCAATATCGGATTAAACTTTGTAGTTAGAGGATTAGCGGATATCGAAGCTAACTTTTCGGTTAGCTGTGCCTACCACTGCCCAAGTCCATATCTCCCACCAAGATGAGCAGAAACACTGAGAACTTACAAAAGCCTCATTGCATAAATTTTTCTTATTATTATTCTGAGACACTGTTATTTGCGTCTTTTTATTGGTCCAAATAAATAGCAGCTGAAGTACCAAAATGAAATGTGTATCTTTTTAAAGACCCATATAATTTTGTGACGCATTGGCATGTCCTTGGGGTCAAACAGGTCTCACAGCTTCAGCTGCCACCAGTGCGGTGATCTCTGAAGCCATGAAAGTAAAGAAGATCAAGCTGGAGATCATGAGCAGCTACCAGAGTGGCGGTAAATACCATGGTGCCGACTCAGAGAATGGAGACCTTAGCTCCAGTGTTGGTGAGTTCTTCACTGTCTTCCTTACTGTAGAAATGGGCTTGACAGACCTGGTGCAGGAAGGATGTCTGGTCTTGTGGTGTTTGAGTAGTGAAGACATAGCAAGATAGCCAACAAAATCAGCTCAATGAAAGCTTTTTATTAGACATCCTTAAAAGAGCATAACAGAACCACCAAGCGTGAATCTTGATCTGCCATTTCAAACCAGGTGCAATATGGGGGGGGGGGGGTCACACATTTCACTAGCACCTTAACACATGGTAGGGAGATACTTAGACGCAAAGTGGCACGCAGAAGGTTAATTAAAGCACATATATACGCTGGTAGGAAGTTTACAATAAAAGCTGTAGAACGGGGAAACGACAACGACAGCACCCGGAGGGGGAGTGGTACACTTGGGGAAAATAGGCGGGGAGGCATGGGCTACTCCGGGTCATATGCATCTGCGACATGCAGCAGGCCATTTTCAGGAACTTGCACAGGTCATCCACGCTGGTACGCCCAGTGCTACTTACTTGAAAGAGCACATGGCTGTGAGGATTTGCTTCACCAAATGGGCCACCATTGGACCCCTGAGCAAGGCCCATAGCCCCAACCGCTCCAGGGGTGCTGGACACTGGGTGACCCTGCACTGTGACCATTGGACCCCTGACCAAGGTCCATAGCTCACATCCACAGCAGACTGGACAGGCAAAGAACTGTTTCCCTACATAGATGAATAAAGTATCATTATTATATTCTATTCTCTCTATGGCCACATGCAGTAAAATCATCTTTAGTTTATCTCAAGGGCAGCAAGATACCTCAGTGTGTTACCACCCATCTCTTGGGTTAGGAGTCTGAATCTTGCCTCTGCTCTATACAGTATGTGTGTCAGTGGAGTTTTGATGGGGCAACGTTTTGATCAGATCCAATAAAAAATACAGGCCAACTTAGTTGAAATTCTTTACTCTACAGAGTGTCACACAACAACATGCTTCAGTATAGTGTTTGTACAGCTCCACCTTCCTCCTCCAACCCTACAGTAGCTTCTTTTATAGCACAAAACCACAAGTCATGTGACCTTCAACATGCACACATTTCTAAAAACAGAAGGTGGCTTGACCTTTAGTATTCACGTAGCTCTTATGAAGTCCTGCACTTTTTATCTTTCACCTACTTCAACACTTGGCTTCCCTTGATGCTTTGTCTAGTTCCTCAGCCGCAGAATGTCTCAGACAACTTCCTCTGCTAAATAGTCCATCCTTCCTCATGACGGTGGTCAGGGGTGCGGGACCCCCCGCTATCCGTAAAAACTGAGTAAAAATTTTTTTGGTCCCCTTTCACTTTGCTCCACAAGTGTGCAAAGAGTGCATGCTAGTGGAACAAAGTGAAAAGATACAAGAACGTGAGACACAAAGATCACTACACGATCACTGCGAGATACCATGTGAGAGGCTGCCGTAAACACTAAAAATCTTCATCACATTTAGCATGTTTTCCCAGTTTTGTGCAGGTTTTCTCTGGGTATTTCCTTCCCATTTCTAATGACACACAGTAGGCTAATCGCTGTCTCTCCATTGCCCATAGCGTGTGACAATGATTGTGCACACATCTCTCCAGTGGCCTGGCATCCTGTCCAAGGTGCACGTTTAGAAGATGATGAATGGAAATTATAGGTGGAGGAATCTTTTGCTATTTTGGTAATGCACAATTAATGGAATACCGTTGCCTCTTGTTATCGATTTTCTTTGACGTGACTGCTGAAGTTCAAGGATGAAATGTTGTGCAGCTCAATATGTTACAGGCATTGCATTTAATACAAGTGGTAAAGAAAAATGCATCTTCACGTAAATCGATTATCAGAAAGATTTATCCGTGGCTTGCTTTCAGTGGGATGGTTGAATGGATTTCTGAATGTATTTTAATTGAAACAGTAGACTTACTGTAAAGGCTTGAATTCATTGGCATTGAAGGCAGGTTGCATTTCGAGCTGAATCCATTAAGGAGGCGGATGCAGATAAAGGTTAACCTTTAAAAAAACTAAATATGTTATAAAGTCACTAAAACAAACCAGAGTGTGAGTAATATTAACAGGGCCGTGACAGCGAGCGTCATAGGGAACTGGCCCTAGTGTTTCAATTTACATTTTAACCTTGAGCACCAAGCCTCTACTGAATGATGTGAATAATAAGAGTGGGAAGCAGCCTCTTAAGAAGCAAAACGTAGTGCTGAGATTTTGGTTAAATATGTGACAGTAACCCTGTTATCCCATCTACCAAGAATTGGCTTCCTTTCCTTTAACATTTACCTGCGCCATTAAGATGGCCGTGTGTGCAGTGATGAACAATCTCCCGGTGTCATCTGAAGGTGACCTGTCGGCACATGCTGACAAATCTTATCCCCGCAGAAATGTGCAAAATAAATCATTAGATCGGGCAGCCGCTCATTCCAGATTTATGATTTGAATTAATGTTACGATTGGTGGGAATAGGAGCCAAGAAAAATGATGTCGGGCACTTATGGCTGATATTGATTGCAGGATGTCTGTCCAATTTCTTGTTTATCTCCAGCACACACATGAGTAGCGGACCAGTCGGAGTTACATAAAGCAGCGTGTGTCATTGTGGCCTGTTTCTCTTCCCCTTGTTGTTTCATCATACTGCTTTTCACTGTAGTGTCCCACATATTATGATAGCTGGCTTGTTTGATGTATTAAAAGAACAGATCCTTTGTACCTCAGAAAGGTTGTGATAAAGTATCGAATCATAAAATTCCCGGGGAAAAGTCATTCTGACTGTTGGCTTGGATTTCAGTGACACCGCATTTTTTATTGCCATTTCATTACAGCTTTAGTCTTGTTAAGCATTCAGATAAGAGAACAAGTTTTTATATTACTACCAATGGATTAACCCTCTGAAATTTTAATATCTTGACAGTAATTGCTGCAAGTTAATGTAAACTGCACACAGCGATGTTTCTCTGATGTTAAATATTCAACACATTATCCTTTTCTTTAGCCCAATTCAGCCCATAATTATCAATTATAAAAGTAACATGGAACAAGTTAAACGAACAAACATTCTGCCCTCAAAGGCCATGAGTGTGTGAAATTTAAGAGAACATCACATGGTCTCAAAAGAGGACAGTCTGTCACAGTGAGAAGCATCTTTATAACGTAACGCACTGTTAATTAAAAAGAGTGGAAGAGGTGATTGGAACCCTGGAGAATGGGGTATCTATCGAGCATGATGTCTCTATGCATATTCTAGACAGAACACTCTGCTCAAGGGCCATGGCCATTAGCAAGGACAAAATTGCTCACCTTTATCAGAGCATCTCATTAATATTAATCTTATTTGTTTTATCATTTTTAACCTGTTTCCAAAAATATTTACTGTAAAGCTATGGGTTATGGCGGTGCCCTGTTTGAAGACAGAGGGGTGAAGGTCAGAGGAGAGATTCTGTAAATGAGATGCTGGAGGAAAAATTGGATTGTATCAGATTCACATATAATTCTGCACTGTGCTTGTAACAAGATGGCAGAAGCATTTCCTGTGTATTTAACTGTTAAAAGGTCAATTTTGATGCATAAGCACTCTGCATGCTTGCGTGTATATATATATATATACCGGCATATATATATATGTAACATTTATAATTTATATTTGTAGCTGCCAACTCTTCAGGTAATATTCCTCTCCAGGGAATACTTTTTCTTTGTTTTTCTATTTTGATCAATACACTACTGCCTCTTCAGTCTTCAGTATCTCAGTTTGGACTATAAGAAACATCTAGTCAAACGTCAGGAAAGCGAGATCCCCTGGAACAGAAGAGCTCCATGCATTGTGTGTTTTATTCTCTGTTTTCATCCTGCCCATTTCTCGTATATTCTTATATACCCCATGTATTGTATAAATGTATCTACACACATGCATTATCCATTGCATCTCCTGCTGTAATGTTAAGTCCATATTTTGTACTTGTACTGGATCTCATCACAAAAGCTGCAGGAAAGGCTGAACGTGTGAACAGCGTCTCTTGCTCTTCACCAGGGATCTGCAGACTGCCCCAGCTGCCATCTCAGGCTGGCTACTGTGATTTAATTAGTCTGTTTATGTCCTTTCTAATAATAAATTCTGCTCTGTAGAAGGGCAAATGTAGCCAGAATCTGGCTCTCGTTAGCGATGGGGCTGGGCACCACTGTGTATGGACCACATCTGAACTACTCAGCTGCTTATCGCGAAAGCGCCGTAGACACTGTGTCACATCTTCTGTAGCGGCCTGATTGGCCTCGTTCGTTTACTGAATGTTTGAATACCGGCGCTACTCTCATTACCTGGAGTAAGATGGCTAATGTTGTGTTAAAAATATCTGGAACGACAGAGTTCTTTGGAAGCTGAGTCATTGTGATGATGGATATAAGAGAGTCAGATGACAAGCACTTTAATTCACTCTGCCTGAGTGTGGAGGTGGATTGTTCAGGTGCAGAAAGTAAAAATCCAGACCAAGATTTTGTTTCGCCAACCAGCTGAGTATAAAGGTCTTTCAGGACCTTTGCTTGTGCCTTTTTACTAATCACACTCGATTGAGTTGTTTTAACTCCCTAGAAAAGTGCCCAAATGCTGTTGCCCAAACTTGCACCCCAGTATAGCCCTTCTGTGTGCCCCATGTTTTGTTTACATATGGTTCCCTTTTGGCAGAAGACAAAATAGAAGTCTTGTTATTTATCGCTGCTAGATTTGTTAAATCCATCGCCCCAGGGAACAACATTTTCAGTAATACCTGAATCTGTTATTACATTTGGACTTTATTCCGAAATATTTCTAACACTTGGTTGGCATCCACAGCAGATAGATAATAGTGCTTTACCCGTTTGAACAGAACTTTAAAGGTGATTTACTGATCTTTCCATTAGACCGTGTGCGTTACACGGCTGATTCAAATTCCAGCTGCATCAGCAGTTGAGAATCAGCAAAAAAGTTATACATGTTTGAGAATGTGCTGTTGTTTAACAAACACAG